TATCTATCTATCTATCTATCTATCTATCTATCTATCTATCTATCTATTTAATTGCTCAAATGTATATAGCCACCTATATATAAATAAGTGACTCAGGGTGGTGTACAACAGAACTAAAAACTAGATAGAGTGGATGATAGATAGACAGACAGACAGACAGACAGACAGACAGACAGACAGACAGACAGACAAAGAAACAGACAGACATATTCTCTTTTTCTTCACAATAGACAGATATAGAGCGATAGATGGATGGATGGATAGATGGATAATTTCCCTTTTCCTTCACATTAGATGGATGGATTGGAGAGATAGAGATAGATAGATAGATAGATAGATAGATAGATAGATAGATAGATAGATAGATAGATAGATAGATGATAGAAAGATAAATTTTCAATTTGCTTGGTACAAAATGGCTTTCTCCATCTCAGTGTTGCGATACAGGAAGAATTGGAATCAAATTTCAGAAATAAAGAGCAATTGGTTTTATTAGCCTGGGATCATAAATAAATAATTGTAAGTATAATTTGGAAGTCAGGTTATTAAGCTACGGTTCAGTGTCCCTAATTTAACTGTAATCCCCTCAGTCTTCTAGTAATAGGAAAAACAGTCTTAGTAATTGTACTAATCATACTGGCAACACAATAAGGTTGGGAAGGGTAATCTCTTGCAATGCTTTTAAGGAATGTCATCTTCAGGGTCTGTGGGGACAAGACTTCTCAGTCATGCACCCCTTTCTCTGGAGCACCATTCCCCACCACCATTTTCTCTGGAGAATCATTCCTCCCCCCCCCCAAATTAGACTGATCTCTACCCTACTGGTTGATTACTACTGGCTTTTCAACAATAATCAACAACTACCTTTATTTGCAGTTAAGGCTAGGATGGGGTGGAGATAATTCTACTGACAGTTCTTCCTATAGGAAAACCATGTAGGTGACCTTTCCTCACCAAGATTTTCACAGATGGAAGTGCTGGGATCTGACTCAGAGAGGATGGAAGGAAACTGGGAATGATGAGTTCTCCTGAATCTATACTTCCTCCATTTTCAGATTGGGGCCCTAAAGAGAGGGATATGTGCAATATTTTTTTTATCAGCTTAAGAGAAGAATAGAACCTCAGTCTCCTCATTCATAGTCTAGCACTTTCACCACTAGATCACTCTGGACCTTGGGCTTAGTTGCCCAAACTCTTTCAGGGTGCTTCTGACTGAAGATGGACTAGAACATGGGATCTTCACCACTACAACATGCTCTCTGTTTCTCTCTTTATACAACAGAAACATGGGGTGAAAACATATTGGAAGCCATGGGAAATAAACAAAAAGAATGTAGAAAGTTGTATGAGGCCATCTCCTTCTTCGAAGAGCCATTCTAGGATTCTGTCTCTATGTCAGGAGCCAGGATGGACATGGAAGGGTTAATATCCTCTGTGTCCAGTTGACCAGAGACAATGAGAAGGCTTATGTTCCTCCTTAGATGTTCACAAGCCAGAGCAGCAAGGCTTCAGTACATGCAGAGATGGAAGGACCCACATACATTCACACAAGAATGGAGGGTGAAATTGATGGAATTGGCAGAGATGTCAAAATTGACTGCTTTGATTAAAGAAAAGACTTTGTCTAGCTTCATTTGCCCTTGGAAACTACTCTTGGATTTTTTTCCTTGAAGCTGAAATCAATGAAATTTTAACTTTTGGTCTTGATGATTAGGCTAGTTTGTGATGATAGAAGTACTGTTTGTTATAGTTTATTCTAGTTCAAAGTGTCATTGATTTTTAGGGTTTTATCTATACCAAAGAAAGTCAGAAATTACTTGCCTTCAGAAGTTGTGGGTCCTCCATCAATGGAGGATTTTAAGAAGAGATTGGACAACTATTTAATAACAGAATAACAAAATAACAGAGTTGGAAGGGACCTTAGAGATCTTCTAGTCCAACCCTCTGCTCAGGCAGGAAACCCCAATCTATTTCAGACAAATAGTTGTCCAATCTCTTCTTTAAAGCTTCCAGTGTTTGGAGCATTCATAACTTCCGGAGGTTAGTCTAAAATGGTGCAAGGTCTCCTCCAAAGCAGGGGAATTGGATTAGAAGACCTCCAAAGTCCCTTCCAATTCTATTATTCTGTTATTCTCTTCATTGAGAAGGGCATATCCTTGCTTGGAGACCTTTTTAAAGCTACCAGATCATATCAACTCTCTTTCCAAAGGCACAACTACTTGATTTGGGGACCTGGATAACAGTAGAACCACCTTCTGCCAGTGGCTTCTTTCCACCAAATAAGACGGAGAAGGATGATCCGCTTCCATTCTCTTTCAGGATTGTAGTGAAAAGTCTTCTCAGTAATCCACCCCCTTTTCTAGGGCGGATCCTCCCCCAAAGTTAGATTGAAAACCCTCCCCCCGACTCTGTTGGTTTTTGAGGAAGTATTGAAACCTGGCTGTTCCAGACAACTTGGAACCAGACTTGTTATGAGAACTCTCCTGATATTGATTTGTGTATGCTGATGGTTGCTCCTCGGGCATTGGGGATGTTCTTTTTGTTGTATTGATTATTATTTTAATTTTCTTATATCAAATAATGTAGGTTGCTCAAAGTCCTGTTTGAATGGAACAGCATAGAAGCTGCAGTACATGAATAAATAAAATTAATAGGACAACTGGAGGTTCCATTAAATCTTCCTTATGTAGCTCACCTTTTCTCCTTGATCTCCTTTCATAGCAACCTTCCCAGAGGCTCTCACCTCCTAGGAAAAGAAGAGAGAAATAACAATATTACAGGCTAAAAGTCATAAAATCTTTGCTTTGCGATAGCTTCTGGCAGTTTCTCTTCCGGAGAAAATAGCAGGTATTCAGAGAGATTAGTTTAACCTAATGAGTTTAACTATTGCAGCCCCACAAGGAACAAAGGAGAAATTGGAAGCTTTTTTTGAAGAAGAATTGGGTCTCATTGTATTCAGGCCAAGAACAGCAAACATCAGCTAAACCAGCAATTGAACAGACTGAATAATGTGGTTTGACATAGATGAGATAGATAGATAGATAGATAGATAGATAGATAGATAGATAGATAGATAGA